CCTTCTAAAAACGCTGATCGTTTCACCTGTGTGGGTAGTGTCATCTCATCGGTTTGTAATACTGCTACCGAGATGTTCACGAGGCTAACGAAAACACGTGATTAATTTACTAACGTTCGTCATGTGTGGCGTGGCGAAGATATCCGATTATCGATTAAAGAGACGATTCGTAATACATATTTGCGCTCAGTCTTACTTTACACGTCTGGAGTTTGAACCGTTTGTGCGGAAGGTACCTATAAGCTCTCGGCATAGACCACTGTTATTTCCGCCGGTTAACTGATGTAATTGGGTTGATTGTGTGAATAACGCGACAGTCCCTATGCACATCTTTGGGAAACGTGCAAATCCTCGATCGATAACCGAGATAATGGCAATGCAACCTACACTGATTAAATTACGTACTCCTTATGTCGATGGGGCGGTTGATGACGGTTTGGAGATATCTCAATGTGACAGGACTGTGACGTGATTACGGACTGCAAAGCGCTGGTCAGATTTGGTAGATACTACTTGCCAGGTCCGCGGCCATTCATACCGCTGGTTAGAAGTGATCTCGGACTCAATCGTGTCGCAATCGCTGGCTATCTTGTGTCTTTGAGAGCGTTACTTCTGTTTTTGCCTTTCTTATCCGCACCTATTTATGAATATTTTGCATATGCATTAATGTCCTCTTTCGTGAAATACTGTTTGGGTCGCCGGTATCTCGGACCATAGTATCCATGAGTAAGACTCAGTTCTGAGAATATATGCAATTGTGTTAATTGGTTTTCAGAAACCAGATATCGATGAGATTATACATACTTCCTCACTTCTGCATGTATCAACAGATTTCAAATGGTAATTATCTTAGTTCTCGTTGAAATTCACTTTTTTGTTATCCTTAGGGTGAAGATGATCCTGGTGTGAACTTTCAACGTGCTTTGGAGACGCTGTCGTGGTGAGTTCATCACTAATTGATCTTCATTTTTAATTGTTAGTGATGAGTGGTTGATTGATGTTCCTTTGTCGTTCATTCAACCCTGGGAACCTCGATGTTAGGCCCTTATTCGTCTAGAATAGATAATGCTGATCGATCCACACATGAATACAAACTGTTTTTGTAAATTGTCACAGCAGAGTCCAGCTCTGATTGTCGATATCAGCAGATAGCAGTTCCTGATGAATTGAAGAAGCTGAACAGCAAATCAGTATAAATTTCGATGCGGTTTCTGTTCAGCCTATGGGTTGGACGATTAGTCCGTTCCGAAGATTTCGTGGTTGCTGACGTGGTTTTCCCACCACACATCGCTAGTGCATCGAAGACACCGGTATTCAAAACTGACTACGTGAATGAACCAGGTTTCGCAGCCATGCAATAGAATCGCACGTGCAGTGGCATCATACACTCGGCCCTTCGCAAAGGCTGAGATCATGTTGACTCCTCAGGCGGCGTAAGTTGGCAAACCATCCGAGCCTTAACTGTACGGTGTGTGCTATCATCAGACACTCCGCCAGCAATGATACAGCTCTCAAGGTCCGTGAACTTTTCAACCACTTCCAGTGGTTCATCAACAAGAGTGAGAGCGAGCTAGGAGTCCTGCCAATCTTGCGACACTTCTTTGCACTTAGAAGGCGTAATGACAATACCAAATTGGGTGTATGCTAAAAAGCTGGTAACCATGCTCCTTATTTTTAAGGTCGTGATTTCTCTTTATAACGCAAACTAGCACCATCATAATTGTGTGCTCTCCGTACAGAAACTGACTTGGCCGTTCGAATTGCGCCGATGCAGTGTTCGCACTAGATGTCTTTACGAAAACAAACCTTCTAAACCCGTTGACAGAACACTTTTTGGTTGTTGAAACGAACCCCATCCTTCCAAAGAAAGTCTTGTCTGACCCATCTCAGTTTGTTCGTATGTTGACCGCAAAGTGGATGGCTTGAGCTCATAACGCTGTCATTTTGGGTTGTTCTCTCTAATGGTTGTCCTGTGCAAGTGTAAATGAAATATTCACAATTGCACTGGCTCTGCGATAGCTTAACTCGTGGCTGAGGATAGAAGACGTGTCTCATTTTCGGCGACTAAGTGAATGGGCTTTCAATACGCTCCAGCGGCGAGATATTTTTCAACTACCGAGTTACTGATAAGTAGTTTTCTCGATCAGTTCACGCTGGAGACTACCAACGCAACCGATGAGCATTGACATTGAATTACTAATAAGTAGTTTGGCAGATTTGATAATTTACA